TCTTCGGCACTTCCATCATTTATTCATGCCTGAATCCATCGAAATCCTTCTTGTATTCAAACAGGCATTTCTGAAACAATACATGCACTCTAAATAAAGCTTGCCTTGTACCAACGGCGTTCACATACCCAAACTGATTAGGAGCAATTTGTTCCTCGTATTTCCGGTAAATTTTTTTGTGGATGACTTTTAAAACCATCTTAAGCAAATTGCTCAATAGGCTTATGATCTTCACAAACTGTTGCTCCTAGTTTTTTGGGCAATAGTACGAACTCCGACTTGAGGCACTCTACTGATATTCTCTACTTCTACTCTACTCTACTTTCCCGTCTTATATATTTTATTAAATATTTCAGTTATTATTTTTGTTTGTTCTGCATCTAATAGCTTCAACAGTTCTGCAGGAATTTCATCAAGTCCTGGTGCCTTCCCATCCTTCATTTGTCTGACGGCTGCCGTTACTTCTTCTGGTAAGATTTCGGGACCTGCCATGTAGATTACCGATATTATATCCAGCTATAGGAGTTCTCAACGCTTCTTTGTTTCAAGCTTCTGTCATATGGCGTATATTACTTTTATACACGCATTATATGAAATGACAGAAGCTCGAAATAAATGAAAAGCATTGAAAAGTCCTATTGGTGACACTAACAGGTATAGTAATTTTTTTGACATTATTGACAGTATGACAGTTAATGTAGAATTTATAAAGAATTACACGAAATGTCAAATATCAATGCCTCATGACTCCTAAACAGTCTTGATAATTTTATTTGTTTTTTCATCTTTATTGTAAATCTTAAGAATAAATTAAGTTTAAATTTAATAACCCATTTTAGCCACTTTAATTTCCAGATATTAGTCATTTTAAAAAAGTTTTTCTTCAGTCTCCAAAGATTCTATATTTTTCCCAGTTCTGAGGAAAAATCCCCAGACCTGGTATCCCTGGCTCCGTCTCTGAGATCATGCGTTAGCACTGAAAGGCTATGAGGCCACCAGAACCAGAGTGGCCCAAGTAATAGAAATCAAAACTAGAGATATGGGCCAAAATAGTTTAGTGAAATTTTCGAGTTAATGTAGAACATTAAGTAAATATTAAACACATCGCTTAGTTTGCAGCGTAATACTTTAAAAATTACTAAGATTCTAATGGGCCATAGCCTGATGCTAATTTTGTAAGTATTTGTAATTTTTTTAACAGTTGGGCCACTTTGGCATTGGCTGTTTGAGACAAGCATGTCAATAAAAGTAAGAATAATAGGCCATCGGGTATGAAAACAACCCATCCCAAAGAAATAAATTAATGTAATATACCAGAACTAATGACTTATTAAACTGAAAAATTACAAATTAAAACTTAGTGCTAGTTTTTTTACTTAAGTTTTAATCAAACTTTTGCTTTTATTGTTTTTAAATGTTTTCATTACACACTACTCCACTGAAAAATCTCTTATTGCTTCGTCTAATTCAGTCCTTGCACTTTTAGAGTCTGCTAGTTGGTGGTAGAATTGATGGTAGATGGGCGGAACATATTAATAACATTAACAATTAGAACATAGTAAACACAGAAGGTCTTTCTATTTTTCAGGGTTGATGTTTCTTCCATCCGGATAGAGCGTTTCGAGCTCTAGTTTAGCAGCATCTTGAGAATTCCTTTTACTGAAGTTAACTTCGGTAAAAAGGACTTCTGGATTATTCGAATATTTAAAATATATGGAGAATGGATCCTACTATACAGCATCCACTGCATTTTTAGCCACTCTACTTTAGACCTATCAACGCTTATCTTTCTGTTCGTAATGTTACTTTCTAAGGCTTTCGTCGATATGAAATCGTCTCGTTTCATCTGTACTACCTTGGATGGATTTTTTTTTTCTCGCTGCTGTTATCGCTGTGTTCCAATGCTCCGGAATGTATATGTTTGAGAATATCTCCTCTGCTTTTCTATCAAGCCGAAAGCTCGGTCACAAGATGAGTAGGAATGGCCGCTCACTGAAAATTTGTAATCAATCTGTTCCACAGTATAAGCTGGATTTGATACAATGTACATACACAACACCGCAATTTTTATATTGCGGTTCTGACCGCCACATTGGTCTGAGTACATTATTAGTTTCTTTGTACGTACATTATCTCTAATGAATTTTAATAAACATGAACCTATTTCCTGTGGCCCTCTGCATGCAGTCGATTCGTTCCAAACGTACATAAAAATGTCATCGATAGCAGCATTGTAAATACCTAAACAGTAAGTCCATAACTGCCGTTTATAATAGCATATTTCAGTTGAAATTACCGGAGTTGGAAGTGTCTTTATCAGATCAAATGTACTTACTGTGGTGTCATTGTTTTCTTTTGCATACTGTATATCAATTTTTATATTATTCATGGCACTTTCCGCTTTTCTTAAATGAATCTCCTTGACAGTGGTAAGTTCGGCCTTCTTGTAATGTTCTTTATTTTCACAAGCTTCTATTTTTACTTTAAAATTATTACATTTCTTACATGAATCTGTTATAGGAGCATGGAATGATAAGTTGAACTTCTCGTTGAAAATTTTTTCAAAGATGTATTTAGAAACAGATTTGCTGACTTTCTTTTTACATTCGGAATACATTATTGTCAAATTCGTCAAATGGCAAATACTGTCTTGTCTCACTTTTGTGTCTGGTGTAGTGTGAATCGTATTTTGGAAAAGTATTAATGAACTCCTTTACTTCATTTTCTTTCAGCTCAGCGGCTTTGTTTTTGGGACATGTTTACCTCGCTTGTCAATAGGGGGTATATCACCAACTGATTTATTTTTCAAAACCCTTGTGAGACGTCCATCTGATACTTGAAGGACATGTTTGAAAAATGACTTGCAAACACGAATTCGTCTTCCGTTCATATCTGGTAAATGATACAGTCTGGAAAATTCTCTCGGCTTTGTTGTGACATCGTTTGCATTTTGTTTACATGATCTTGATTTAATTACGACATTTACGAGTTAACACAGGTATGAGCTTTGCAAATTGAAATTTGATAATCCATAAAATTTGGAAAATAGTATTCTTTGTCTTTTAGGGTTCGATCTTCTCGTGGCATTTTTCTTTACAGGGACATCGATATTGTGTCTTTATCGTTTTAGCGAGAACGAGAACGCCTTTAGTGTTAGTGTATTCCTCACCTTTAGCTCGTTTGTTTTTTCTAACATTTTTTTTTCCACGTATTTTCCTTGCGTTTCCTTGTCGTATTTGTAGAAACTGACGACTGGTCTTCTTAATTAGACAAATCTTCAAAAATATGTTGCAAATTTGGCGAAGTATACCTCGTAATTCATTTTCGATGTTATCAGTAGTTTCAGCTCCACTCCCTACATCATGTGCAGTTGCTGCAGCTCCAGGAACATCTGCAGTAAACAAACACAACAATAATTACTATTAATGTAAGATGTAAGCTTTGATAAAATTAAAACAGTACAATTAATGTTTTTGTAGGTTATGTTAACTTGACAAAGGTTATAACAGTTGGATTGTTGGTTAAATAACAGAGAAACTCACCTTTTACGTTACATGCAGTGCCTTCCGCGCCTTCACCATCACTTTCATTCATGTTTTTATTTATTTTCTAATTAAAACACTGTTATAAAATGAGAAACACGCAAATAACCTCTCAATAATAATCACAATGACAGTTAAGCTTTGCCAATGCCAGAGTGGCCCAAGTCACCTGGGTCACTATGATTTTTAAAATGGAGTATAAAATTACAATGCCAAAACAATACTAGTGTCGCCATCTGTTATTCTCGGAGAAAACTAATCTTGGGCCACTGTGGCTTTGAAAATATTATTATTTCACATCGTTTTTGTGATAAAGTCTAAATATGAAAAAATGTCACTTGGGCCACTCTGGTTCTGGTGGCCTGATTTTAGGACTGAAACTTTAATTATTTTTTCCCTCATTTACCAAGTGTACATATAATTATTATTTTACGTACAACATAAAAATGGATAGTAACAATATTTTTTGTGATTGTAAATATTTTTACTAAAAACTAGAAAATAATTTTTATTCCTTGAGTTGTTTAGCCATTTTTATGTGTGTATCGTTCCACGTAGATAAGTGAAAAGAGTTCAGCAACAAGTTTCTCAAAAACTCCGAAGTGTAAACTGTTTTACACATGAAACGACTCTCGTTGAAAAAAGTTTTAGCAGGATCGATACCCCCGGCGGAAATGAGTTATTTTATTCCGGTCAGCTTCTTTCAGTTCGAAACCGACAAGCAGCAGCTAGATTGTAATTTGAGGATCACGACACCTAGGGGACAAGGAAGCAATGGCAGATCACGGCTGCCTCGCCTCCTCTAGAATACCCAAACAGCGTCTGACAGTAACGACGACATAAATTTTCCCTTGAGACAGCCCAGGGGTGAATTGCATTCTCCTTTTCAGATGGCCTGAGCTCTCTTAAAACGTATCAGTAGCGGGGATGTAGGCCAGTTCTTATAAAGACGGTATTTATCAATATGTACATTTTAAAATTAAGATAGAAAACAAGAACGGACAAGTAGTAGGCTCAGATGAATTGCCTACTAATAATTATTACGTTCATTAACAATGAAATCACTAATATATTTATTAAACAGGAGTAATCCTTTAAGAATGGTTTTGCCCTCCAGAGCAAACACATCGTAAGTCGCAATATTTTTTGAGAAAAGGCAATATTTGCAGTTAACACAGTGCCATCCTTACTTTAAAAGGCAGACTGTTGCTTTTTTGCACAGAAGTAGTTAATTAGGATTTTTTTTTGATTTACCAGAAATCACTAAAGTCCCCCAAGTTTAATATTTGATAAACTTTTTGAAAAGTAAGGTTATTTACAATCACAACAGATAATGGAAAGAGTTTATTCAGTTAGTGAGGAATACGGCATGAGCCCTAACTTCAAGAAGACAAAGTGGATGCTGATAAGCAAAAATTAACAACCTACTCGACAATTACGGATAAGTAATATATTAATTAACCATGTAGAATCTTGTCTCTTCCCCTAAAACTACGTCTAATTTAATGCTACATTTTCCGATCTTACTGTATAGTGTAGAGGCCTGGACGCTGACGGAGACGCTCACGAGAAAACTAGAAGCATTCGAAATGTGGGGGTACCGACGCATTCTTCGTATATCCTGGACCGAACATGTCACCGTACAAATACCTTGGAGCATGGATCACAGAAGATACTGATCAGACAAAAGAAATAAGATGCCGCATTGAAATTGCGCGGTCAACTTTTAATAGAATGAGAAAACTTTTTTGTAATCGCGATATCAATATATCGCTCCGGATAAGAATGCTTCGATGTTATATTTTCTCTACCCTTTTATATGGAGTTGAAGCTTGGACACTTAAAAAATTCAACACTAAAAACCTAGAAGCAATCGAAATGTGGTGTTACCGACGCATTTTGAAAATATCATGGATGGATCGCAAAACAAACGAACAAGTTCTCGAACAACTAGGAAAACAATGCGAAGTTTTAAATTCCATAAAGATCAGGAAATTGGAATACTTGGGGCACATCATGAGAGGTAAAAGTACGAACTACTAAGGAATATAATGCAGGGTAAAATCAAAGGTAGAAGAAGCGTAGGAAGACGTAAAATCTCGTGGCTACGCAATCTCCGTGAGTGGTTTGGATGCAGTTCAATTGAACTATTCAGGCGAGTAACCAATAAAATTATAATTGCCAGAATGATTTCCAATCTCCGATAGGAGTGGAACTTGAAGAAGAAGAAGAACATGTCACCAACATAGAGGTATTTCAAAGAATCGGAAAGGAGACAAACATTGCGAATACAATTAAACAAAGAAAGCTTGAATATCTTGGCCACATATTGAGACACGATAAGTACCGTCTACTGCAATTGATTGTCCAGGGAAAAATAGACAGTAAACGAGGGCCAGGCAGAAGAAGATACTCGTGGCTCCAAAATCTGCGGAAGTGGTTCGGGCTCACTTCGTTCGAACTGCTCAGAAGCGCCGCAAACAAGATCAGAATTGCCATGTTAATAGACAACGTTTGCAACGGACAGGGCACTTGAAGAAGAAGAAGAAGAAGGTTATTTAGAATTATTAATTTTTCAGATAGGACTTTTTTACTTTAAATATAAATGACAATTAAAATTGTACTAACTGCATTTATTCATTAAATAAGTTTATTAAAAAAAGGCAAGGCTGTTACATATTTTTTTTCCAAAAAGTAAGTACATTAAAAAAAATTTAATCAAATTACAAGTTATCCTTAACGACGAATTCTAACACTGGCATATTTTTCCAAAACATAATCCTATTTTAGGTAATATTGGGCGTAGTTTATTTAGCAAAATTTATTTTCTCTTTATGTCAATACCTTAAACGTTGTTATGCATATTGGGTTTGCGTATGTCTGTCTTGAAAGATTTTGCCATTAGGAAATTAAGATTTATAAAATCGTCTGAAAAATTTACTCTGTATTTAAGGTTTTTACTTCCTCTTACACAAGAAGTAAGAACTATATCTCGTAAACATAGCCTAGGTGACACGTGACTAATTTTATGCGTATGATCATTTTTATTTTTCCAGAATTTGAGTTCTGGACACTAAAATAAATTCATCAAAGTCCAATTTTTTACCCATTTTTGTCGGTGCCTGCTCTAACTGTTTTTTGCTTTTTTCTAGTAGCTGGTGACAGATCATACTTCTTCCTTTTCTGATTGTACCTTTCTTTGTATATATTATCAAGTAGCCGCTTAATAAAATGCAAAGTTTCTTCTATAACATCGATGTCCATATCATGCTTGTTAATATTATTGGAAAAATAGTTTAGTCGATTTAATTTTGTCCTGTGTGTCAGACCTAATCGAATGCCTTCTGGATGTCTGGGAATATACCTATGACGTGGTTTCTTTCATTAGGTTATTGTAAAATCAAAGTTGTTGCTTTAATGAATGCATTTTGCGTGGCATGTTTAGCCCTGAATCCGGATTGATAGTGTAGAATGGCAAGGTAAGCATCTTGGAATTCTGCGAGTCTGTCCTTGGGGACCCTCTCGTAGACTTTACCTAGGGTGCTTAATAAAGAAATAGGACTGTACGATTCGGGATTGGTGAGGTTTTTCTTTTGTTTGGGAATCATGACTGTGTTGGCCACTTTCTATGGAATTGGAAAATAGCTTAGCGTAAGAGATACATTGATTATGTTATGAGCTAGGTTTTTTTCAATATTACACATCTTCCTGGTGGTGTCCTCAGTAACAGGATCCATCAATAAAATATATCCTCGACTCTCCGTTACGCCTCTCTTTCGGATGCTTTGCTGAAGTTAAGGTTATTGGGAGAGACTAGGGCTGCCTGTAATGTATCTTTGAAGACTTCAGCCTTGTCTTGTGGATTGTTGAGAATTACGTTGTTAACTATGATATCTGATCATGGCTGACTTTTTTGTTTCGTTTGGACTTACTTAAGTTTATTCCAGAATCTAGCACCCTCGTAGTAATTAAGATCGGCTGTGACAAGTCACCGCTGTAATTGTTTCAGCCTGTTTACTTGCAACCTGATAACCGTTTAGAGCTTGTTACACTTTGTTTGGATGAGGGGATCTCTGAATCTTTTATACTCTATGATCATTTTGCGTTTGGATTTATTAAGTGCAATGATTTTAGGTGGGAGAGTTGGAATATATAAATTATATCTTATTTTTGAGATTGAGGGATAAGGCTTCTTGGAGAAGCTTCTCAATTTTGGAAATTCCTGCGTAAACTTGATTATGTGTTTTGACTAGGAGTGGGAGGTGGTCAGAGGTTATTAAATCTCCCATGAAGCATTTATCGTCGAACTTATCTAGCAAACTCTTCGTTCAAAAAATATGGTCCACAATGAACATTCCATGGTAATTGAAAAACGTGACCTTATTATTCGTAATTCTGGAAATGGGCAGCTCCAGAATAAGGTCTGAGAGCTGTCTGCTGGAAATGTTAATAAAGGTATCACCAAATTAAGTGTGTCGGCTACTTAGATCGCCCAATAAAAACCCATTGTTTGGTTGTTAAAACTCATATTAAAGATAAAGTAATTTTGCCAATTTTTTTTAAAGGTAAATGAATTACCTTTGAAATGAGGGGTTTTAAAAGTTAATTGAATTATAAATACTAGGCTATACTTGGAAATGTCTTATAAAATGCCTATTTTGCAATTGTTTTTTACGAAATTTGTTGTAACTTTTGTTATAACAATTAGATTAAAGTTAAACAAACACCGTTTTGTTAATGTTTTTAAAAAAACAATTTTTATTTTGACAAAATATCTTTAATAGGTTAAAAGGTTTAATCATTTAAATAACTAAATTGTTAAACAAGGTATCGTGTTGTTTTCAGCATGGTACCCCCTAAATATCGTGTCTAGCACCTAAAAACATAAAAAACGTTAAGTGCTGTGGAACTGAGAATAAGAGGCTTGAAATAGTTTATATTCTCCAATTTGTATAAAAGGTAAGCTGGATACTTTCTGAGAGCTAATGATATTATAGTATTGTTATAATTAAACTAGGAGGTCCACTTGTGATGTTACGAATCCAAACATTTTTTATTTTATATCTGCACAAGGAAAACATTTCAAATAAACGGAAAAAATTTGACAATTCTTCGTTACAAAGGAAATAAACTTTTTTGAGGAAAACTGAATATTTTATGTTAAAACAACAAGAAACGACAACGTTTCGATTAGGCCAGGAAATAAATGACCATCTGCATTACTTTAAAACTCTAGTATAAAGGTCTCACGAATATACAGTATTGTGCGAATTATTGGAATCATAGGCTATTTTAATGAAAAAACAGTTTATTTAGTAAAAAATTATATTTTGACAAAACTATAAAGGTAAACTTACATCATTAGGAAATACATCCCCATTTGGCAGCAATTACTGCTTTTATCCGTTTTGGCATAGATTCTATGAGTTTCTGGCAGTTGTCAGATATCCTTTCATCTCCCTAAATGGCCGCTTCTATCATTTTTGTTTTAGTGATACAGTCGATTTTTCGCAGTCTAACTTTGCAAATGGCCCATAAATTTTCAATGGGGTTGAGGTCGGGCGAATTACCGGGCCAATCTAAAATATTTATCTTCTTATTTTTAAAAAATGCCATCATTTTCTTTGATTTGTGACAGGGAGCAGAGTCCTGTTGAAGAATCGCTCCTCTTTGGGATTGACATTTTTGGAGTTGTTTGTCCAAATACTTATCCAACATGGATTTGTATTTTTGGCTGTTCATCATGCCTTCAATTGGCACCAAAGATCCAACCCCCATGTATGAAAGACATCCCCAAAACATTTTTTTGACTGGATGTTTTACGGTTTGATTAATACGAGATGGTGTAATCTTTTCATTGTCAGATTTCCTGACGAATTTCGACCACTGTCCCTGAACTATAAAGTGGGTTTCATCTGTAAATAGGACTTTTTTCTAGTCGCCTACAGTCCAATTAGAGTATTTTTGGCCCAGAGTAGCCTTTATTTCTTCATTCGTTCAGTTACAATTTTTTTTTCTGTGGACGAATTGCCCTTCTAACATTCTCCAAAAGTCTTCTACGAACAGTTGAGTCATGAATCACTATAGCTGATGCTGCTAGATCTTGTTGTAGGTCTTGGCTTGATTTTCTTAGGTCCAATTTGCTCTTTTGAAGTAAAAATCTATCATCTGCTGGTGTTGTTTTTCTCTTTCTTCCACATTTTCCTAACCTTTTCACATCCACTGATGTGCTACCCCCTGACTGACTCCACACGTTCTAGCAATCTCTCTTTGTGACATACTAGTGTTTTCACTCAACGTAAAAATCTTTTAACGCTTCCTAGGCGTAATATCCATATTGGAATAAAACCAAAAACAGCACAAAATAGTACAAAACCCCCAAAACAACACAAGCTTGGTAAGAAATGACCTAAAACACACTCAAACACATCAACACACAGTAAGGTTATGTTTTCAATGCTTGGTCAGCTATCAACTGTGTAGGTAGTGTTGCCAACTGTGAATATTGAAAAAATGAAAAAAAATTCACAGTGATTCCATTAATTCGCACAATACTGTAGTAGATCCCTGGTTCTTTCTTTTGTGGACTGAACAAAACCATTAGACACAGTGGAACCAGTCGTTATCTTAAAACAATTATAAAAATACAGAATAAACCAGAGGTATGCAAATATTATTCGAAATAGATCCGAAGATGCAACCTCCAAGATAAACCTTCATAACTGAGAAAATAAAAATTGGTAAACGGGTACGGCAAGGAGATACTTTATCACCAAAACTTTATAATAGTCACGGAGCACCCATTTAAATGATTAGTGTGGGACTTAAATAGTATTGCCGTTAATGAGAAAAAAATAAATTATTTTTGATAGCCGATGGCTTAGTTAAAACCTGAGTTAGGCTACAATAAATACAGCATTTACAGAGAGAGTCAGTTTAAAGATAAACTTTGGGAAAACAAAAATGATGACAAATTTTGTTTCCAAAGAAATATGGAAGAAGAAATCTTCGGCCAAGAAGTTATTAAAAGTTATCTGTATTTTGACCAAGATATAAGATTAACAGGAGAGAACCAAACATGTAAGCTCCTCAGAGGAGTAAGTTTTGGTTTGGTTACATTAAAACAATGAGAGATACAATATATCTCTCATATCTAAAAAATTTGAGACATAGCGTAAAAAACTTTAAATAATCTTCAGGAATAGACTAAGAAACGAAAAAGTTTGTCGACGAACCGGAGTGAAAGACATTCTCGAATGTTTTACAAAGCAAAAATGGAGATAAGCAGAGCCCGTTGCAAGAATAAAGGAATTTAAAACGTGCACGAAGCCCAGAAATACCCTTAATAAATTAGACCAATGACCAAATCCAATGACCAATCCAAAAGGATTGTGACCAATTGAATAGCAGAGGTGTAGAACTGAAAAAATGGAAATATCTGGTGCAGATCTGTGTTCAACAATATAGAATTCAAAGCTGACTGATGATGATCATGATGATTGTTTAATATTCTAAAATATTTAATAGCTTGAAAAAAAGACCAGGTCAAAAAATTTAAATAAATGAAAAGTATTTGAATGATAATCATAATTAAAAGAAAATGTTATTCTTTTAATGAACAGTAATTTACGACAATTTTCATAGTTGAACGATCGCCAGGTTGAAAATTTCTTCTTCAGCTGCTAAAGAAATCAGCAGAAACATAGTTTAATTAAGCTATTAAATTGTTTAAACAGGAGATGTGTTTTCTCCTAGACTCTGTCTAACCTGGATTTTTCCATTTATTATCAGATGCAGCAGGTTGTAACTCTTTCTCCTCGTCACGTGTCTTACATATTGCAATATTACAATTTTACTAGTATCTAAATCCTCTTTTTTTTTCAATTCTTCGTAA